ATGATTCCTGGGTAAATAATGAAATAAGGCAGAAATCAAGAAGTTCTTTGAAACCAATGAGAACAAAGAGACAATGTACCAGAATCTCTGGGACACAGCTAAAGGAGTGTTAAGAGGGAAATTTATAGCACTAAATGCCCACATTAGAAAGCTAGAAAGATCTCAAATCAACACCCTAACATCACAATGAAGGGAGCTAGAGAAGCACAAGCAAACTAACCCAAAAGCTAGCAGAAGACAAGAAATAACTAAGTTAAGAGAAGAATTGAAGGAGATAGGGAAATAAAAAAAACCTTCCAAAATATCAATGAATCCAGGAGCTGGTTTTTTAGAAAATTAACAAAATAGACCACTAGCTAGACTATTGAGAGAGAGGAATCAAATAGATACAATAACAAATGATAAAGGGGATATCACCACTGACCCCACAGAAATACAAACTGCTGGGCCGGGTGCGGTGGCTCACACCTGCACTCCCAGCACTTTGGGAGGCCAAGGTGGGCAGATCACCTGAGGTCAGGAGATTGAGACCAGCCTGGCCAACATAGCAAAACCCCATCTGTACTAAAAATACAAATATTATCTGGGCGTGGTGGTGCATGTCTGTAATCCCAGCTACTCGAGAGGCTGAGACAGGAGAATAGCTTGAGCCTGGGAGGTGGAGGTTGCAGTGAGCAGAGGTCATACCATTTCACTCCATCCTAGGCTACAGAATAAGACTCCATCTCAAAAAAAAAAAAAAAAAATAGAAAAGAAATACAAACTGCCATCAGAGAATACTATTAACACCTCTACGCAAATAAACTAGAAAATCTAGAAGAAATGCATAAATTCTTGGACACATACACCCTCCCAAGACTAAATCAGGAAGAAGTTGAATCCCTGAAAAGACCAATAACAAGTTCTGAAATTGAGGAGGTAATTAATAGCCTATCAACCAAAAAAAAGCCCAGGATCAGATGGATTCACAGCTAAATTATACCAGAAATACAAAGAGGAGCTGGTACCATTACTTCTGAAACTATTCCAAACAATTCAAAAGGAGGGACTCCTCCCTAATTCATTTTATGAAGCCAGCATCAGCCTGATACCAAAACCTGGCAGAGACACAACAAAAAAAGAAAGCTTCAGGCCAATATCCCTGATGAACACTGATTCAAAAATCCTCAATAAGATACTGGCAAACCGAATCCAGCAGTGCATCAAAAAACTTATCCACCATGATCAAGTTGGCTTCATCCCTGGGATGCAAGGCTGGTTCAACATACACAAATCAATAAATGTAATCCATCACATAAACAGAACCAAAGACAAAAACCACATGATTATCTCAATAGATGCAGAAAAGGCCTTTGATAAAATTTAACATCTCTTCATGTTAAAAACTCTCAATAAACTAGATATTGATGGAACATATCTCAAAATAATAAGAGCTATTTATGACAAAGCCACAGCCAATATCATATTGAATGGGCAAAAGCTGGAAGCATTCCCTTTGAAAACCAGTACAAGACAAGGATACCTTCTCTCACCACTCCCATTCAACATAGTATTGGAAGTTCTGGCCAGAGCAATCAGGCAAGATAAAGAAATAAAAGGTATTCAAATAGGAAGAGAGGAAGTCAAGTTGTCTCTGTTTGCAGATGACATGATTTTAAGATCTAGAATACCCCATTATTTCAGCCCAAAAACTTGAACTGATAAGCAACTTCAGCAAAGTCTCAGGATACAAAATCAATGTGCCTGAATCACAAGCATTCCTTTACACCAACAGTAGGCAGGCAGAGAGTCAACTCATGAATGAACTCACATTCACAATCACTACACAGAGAATAAAATACCTAGGAATACAACTAACAAGGGATGTGAAGGACATTTTCAAGGAGAACTACAAACCACTCCTCAAGGAAATAAGAGAAGACACAAACAAATGGAAAAACTTTCCATTCTCATGAATAGGAAGAATCAATATCATGAAAATGGCCATACTGCCCAAAGTAATTTATAGATTCAATGCTATTCCCATCAAACTACCATTGACATTCTTCACAGAATTAGAAAAAACTATCTTAAATTTCATATGGAATCAGAGAAGACCCTGTGTAGCCAAGACAATTCTAAGCAAAAAGAACAAAGCTAGAGGCATCATGCTACCTGACTTCAAGCTCTGCTTCAAGGCTACAGTAACCAAAACAGCATGGTACTGGTGCCAAAACAGACATATAGACCAATGGAGCAGAACAGAGACCTCAGAAATAATACCACACGTCTACAACCATCTGATCTTCAACAAACCTGACAAAAACAAGCAATGAGGAAAGGATCTCCTATTCAGTAAATGGTGCTGGGAAAACTGGCTAGCCATATGCAGAAAACTGAAACTGTACCCTTTCCTTACACCTTATACAAAAATTAACTGAAGATGGATTAATGACTTAAATGTATAAGCCAAAAGCATAAAAAACCCTAGAAGAAAACCTAGGCAATACCATTCAGGACATGGGCATGGGCAAAGACTTCAGGACAAAAACGCCAAAAGCAATTGCAACAAAAGCCAAAATTGACAGTGGGATCTAATTAAACTGAAGAGCTTCCACACAGCAAAAGAAACTATCATCAGAGTGAACAGGTAACCTGAAGAATGGGAGAAAATTTTTGCAATCTACCCATCTGACAAAGGTCTAATATTCAGAATTTATGATGAACTTAAACACATTTACAAGAAAAAAACAACCCCATCAAAAAGTAGTCAAAAGATATGAACAGACATTTCTCAAAAGAAGACATTTATGTGACCAAAAACATATGAAAAAAAAGCCCAACATCACTGATCATCAGAGAAATGCAGATCAAAACCACACTGAGATACCATCTCATGCCAACCAAAATGGCGATTATTAAAAAGTCAGAAAATAATAGATGCTTGTGAGGCTGTGGAGAAATAGGAATGCTTTTACACTGTTGGTGGGAGTGCAAATTCGTTCAATTACTGTGAAACACAGTGTGGCAATTCCTCAAGGATCTAGAACCAGAAATACCATTTGACCCAGCAATCCCATTACTGGGTATATACCCACAGGAATATAAACCATTGTACTATAAAGACACATGCACACATATGTTTATTGCAGCACTATTTACAATAGGAAAGACATAGAACCAACCCAAATGCCCATCAATGATAGACTGGATAAAGAAAATGTGGTATATACACACCATGGAATGCTATGCAGCCATAAAAAAGAATGAGATCATGTTCTTTGCAGGGACATGAATAGAGCTGGAAGTCATCATCCTCAGCAAATTAACACAGGAACAGAAAACCCAACTCACATGTTCTCACTCATAAGTGGGAGTTGAACACCGAAAACACATGGACACAAAGAGGGGAATAACACACACCAGGGCCTGTTGGGGTAAGAGGAAGGAATGTAGAGGATGGGTCAATAGGTGCAGCAAACCACCATGGCACATGTGTACCTATGTAACAAACCTGCATGTTCTGCACATGTATCCCTTTTTTTTTAGAAGAAATAAAGAAAAAACTAAAAAAAAATTATAAGAACTTGAAAGGATTTTACCCCCAAAAAAACAATTACTAAAATATGGGCTTAGGAAGAAAGATAAAAACTAAACAAAAATAATAGATGGGGGAGGCTTTATAGGTCATTTCTTACATACACCTTCATTGATTAGATAATTCCGTGTATTTTTTGAACATCATAAGAAAAAAATCATTATTTTCCAGCTCATTTTGAAGCTTGCTTTTGATTTTTTCTTTTTTTTTTTTTAGATGGAGTCTCACTCTGTCACCCTGGCTGGAGTGCAGTGATGTGATCTCGGTTCACTGCAACCTCCACCTCTCTGGCTTAAGCGATTCTCCTGCCTCAGCCTCCTTAGTAGCTGGGATTACAGGCACATGCCACCACGCCTGGCTAATTTTTATATTTTCAGTAGAGAAGGGGTTTCACCATGTTGGCTAGGCTGGTCTTGAACTCCTGACCTCATGTGATCCACCCACCTCGGCCTCCCAAAGTGCTGGGATTACAGGCATGAGCCCTCGCACCCAGCCAAAGCTTGTATATTCTGATATAAATATCAAATAAAAGTAGTAAAAGGAAAGGTTAGTCTCATTTTTGCACCTTTATAGAAAGTTGGTTGTATCTTGTTTTGTGAAAAGAAGTATGATGTAAATAAGTATGTAAAGTATTCCATTTGTATTTTTTAAAATACTATATTTGTGGCTAAATATATATCTATTTTTATAGGTATATTGGTAGGATTTTTTTAATGAGTCTGGGAGATAAAACTATTAAGAATGCTAACATAGTACTGGAAGAAAAAAGGTGAAAGGAGATTTTCACTTTTTATACATTGTAATGTGTTTTGAATATTTTTACAGTAAGCATATACTTTATATCATAAAAAAATTTCTTTAATGTATTTCCCTTGCTTTAAATAAATTGAAAGAATCCTTAAAGGACTTTGCACATATTTTCTTTATCATAAAAGAAAATACATTTTACACTTTCAATTGAGCTAAATAGGATATTTCCAAATTATTATTTGATCATATATCCACTTAATAGCAAAGTAAATTCTGAGGCATCTCTCATTTAATTTGCCATGGGTAAGAAGTTGTGATCTTGACTCAGCTTTTACTTTTAGGGAAAAATTCTATTTTAGAAACTGACCTTACAATGACCCAGCATCAACACATTCTGGAGTTTTTCATTACATCTATGTTGGTAGAGGACTGGGGGCACCTTCATTCTCAGTGCTGCTTTATTTTCCTCATGAAAATCGAGAAACTTAGGATGTGCACTTAGAGTAATATATGAGAAACTGATTTTTAATTAAAATAACATAAGGACTGGCCTTTTGTGGATTGTTTTCAAGTTGCTACAGATTAAATATTATTCAAGAAGCATTTTTAAAAATTCTCTCCATCAAAATACTTTTTAATTTAATGTTCTCCAAACTTTGAATAACGTTTCTAGGGTGAAGAAAAAATTAAGGAGAGAAAGAGGTATTTGGGAGACACAAAACACTTTTGTCCAGTAGTCCTCAAAGAAAACTTCATCCTACAACCAGGAAACACAGAAGAAGCAGCCAAGTATCGAGAAAAGATCTACTACTTTTCAAGTGCTGAGGCTAAAGAAAAGTTTTTGGAGCATCCTGAGGACTATGTGGCTCATGAAGAACCACTGAAGGTGAGACAGTATTCCTATCTTAATGATTGCTCCCACAGGATTTTTTCAGGACTGATTACCAATCACTACCAATTTACTTAAGGGTGAAGTTCCCAATCTGATATTACAACATAAAGAAAATATCTAAGTTCAAAGAACAACTTTTTGGAATATAACATAAAATAATTATCTATTTTGATTTCTGTAGTAATTACTTGTGTCAAACCAGCACTTAATATCTGCCTTTTTAGCTGAAGTAAAAATAAAACAAAACATAAACAAAAACAAACCCCACAGCTGGATGAATTCCTTACTATAGTGAGGCCAGTCATGCTAGTTAGTCTCTGAGAGCAGAGCAGGATGATGGTCTTCTACAGGATTTTGGAGAAGAGTGGAATTCAGGGATTGGTGAACTTTCAGAGGCATAAGTGGGTTGACATCTATGGAAGTAAGATTAGTGACACTGCTATTGACTGGTTCACACTCAGAATTGTTATAGGGGTAAGTCCATCCTGATTGGTAAGTTTCAAGAGTGAGGGCTGACACTGGTTGGTTGGATTGCAAAAATGTGTTTCCTGAAGTGAGTTTACCCTGATCAATTAAACCAATTTAAAATTGGTTGAGTGGCTATTGTTACCATGGCTATCCAATAGTCATTTTTTAGTGGAGCATTGTTATAGAGGAGAAGGACACTTTGGTGAATCTTCCCTGGACATTTTTCTGTTACAGCTTTGGCTGACTTTCTCAAAACACTCTCATCATAAGCAGATGTTACTTCTCTTTGGCCCTCCAGAAGCTCAACAAGGAAAATGCATTGAGCCTCAAAAGACAAACTGTTGCCATGACCTTTGTGCTTGACCAGTCCACTTTTGCTTTGACTGGACCACTGCCACCTGTTGGTGACCATTGCTTTGATTGTGCTTTGTCTTCAGGATCATACTGATAAAGCCATGTTTCATCTCCTCTACAATTCTTCAAACAAATGCTTTAAGATTTTGATCCCATGTGTTTAAAATTTCCATTGAAAGCTCTGTTTTTGTCAGCAGATGATCTGGGTGCAACAGTTTTGGCAATCATAGAGTAGAAACTTTGCTCAACTTTAATTTTTCAGTCAGAAAACTTGTACACTGAGTCAATCTAGATGTCTAGGTGTGTTGGCTATTGTTTCTGCTGTTAATCATCAGTCCTTGTCAATTGGATCACAAACAAGATAAATTTTTTCCTCACAAATTTAAGTGGGTGGTGTGCTGCTACAGGCTCCATCTTCAACATTGTCTCGTCCTTTTTTCAAGCAAATTGTTCATTTGTAAACTGCTGATCTCTTTGGGGCATTGTCCCTAGAAATCTTCATAAAGCATCAATGATTTCACCATTTTTCTTCCCAAGCTTCACCATAAATTTGATGTTTATTCTTGCTGCAGTTCTAGCAGAACTCATGTTGCTGTGATCTATTGCCTTGTTTTACATCATACTGATGTCTTATCTTTCTTAGTGCTTCAAACTAGATCCTGTTCAGACATGTTATAACAAGTTCATATGAGTTTATTTGGTGCAAAAAAAAAAGTGAAAAAAATTATTTTCATAATATGCATTTTCTGTCAACTTTTTGAAGACCCCTCATATTTTTAGATTTTTGAGGAAACTCCATACTGTTTTTCATAATGGCTGTCCGACTTTACATTTCCACAACAGTGTACAAGTGCTCCCCTTTCTTCACATCCTCACCAGCATTTGCTATTTTTTTGCCTTTTTGATAATAGTCATTCTAACAGAGGTGAGATGATATCTCACTGTGGTTTTGATTTGCATTTCCCTGATGATTAGTGATGTTGAGCATTTTTTCATATACCTATTGTCCATTTGTATGTGTTCTGTTGAGAAATGTCTGTTCAGGTTTTCTTTTCCCCATTGTTAAATCAGAATATTTGTTTTTTTGCTACTGAGCTGTTTGAGTTCCTTATATATTCTGGTTATTAATCCCTTGTTGGATGGATACTTTGCAAATCTTATCTCCCATTCTGTAGGTTTTCTCTTTACCATGTTGTTTTCTTTGTGATTCAGAGGTTTTTTAGGTTAACGTAATCCTATGTGTCTATTTTTGCTTTTATTGCCTATGTTTTTGAGGTCTTACCTGGAAAAATCTTTGCCCAGACCAATGTCCTGTAGCACTTCCCCAGTGTTTTCTTCTAGCAGTTTTATATTTTCAGGTCTTCCATTTAGGTCTTTAATCCGTTTTGAGTTGATTTCTGTATATGGTGAAAGATGAGGATCTAGTTTCATTCTTCTGCATATGGATATCCACCTATCACAGCACCATATATTAAAGAGACCATCCTTTCCTCCACGCATGTATTTGGTGCTTTTGTAGAAAATGAGTTGACTGTAAGTGTTTTGACTTTCTTGAATTATTTTACTACTGTGCTATGCTATAGCTCCCTCGGATGGGATTACTGGAGCAAGATATATATATCACAGTGTATTGCCTTATGACTTTTGATAATATCAATGCCTTCTTAAAATGAACACATGGAACTAAGCACTTCTGTATAATTGGGCCATTTTCATGAACTTCAAATTTTATATAGTGCCCATGAGACTACTGAAGTATGTGGGTGGTTGTGCCCTCACAAACAAGCCCCAATCCACTGGTGTTGGGGGTCATTTAAGGACTGTGGCCATTTATCCTTTTCTGTTGTTGTTTTCAACTGTAATTTCTGCTTAGTCTGGTTTGCTGTTTGTGATCTATTGCCTTGTTTTACACAAATCCATTTGGATAAGATCCTGAAATCCTGACTGTATTTCCATAGTTTTGCAAAGCATAAAATGAACTGGGTTTTTCCAGAAGCATTTCCCTTCCCTACCATAGGGTACCTGAAGACAGTCTGAGTACCAGACAGCCCTAGTTGCCAGACGTTTAACTGATGGATGAGTGAGATGTTAAGCCAGCAGTTTTATCACTGAGAGGTTTAAAATGTGATTTAAAAGTATGGTGTGAGGCTGCAGCTATATAATTTCATGTCATTCTAGTTTTTCTCCTTCCCCTTGCAAAAACTCCAGCTCCTTTGAGGCTTATCCTACTTGGATGTATCAACAAGCCCCATTCCTCCTTGCTGCTATCACCTACCAATTTCTTAGTATTTCCTCACAATCACAGAAGACTTAGCTGCTGCTTCATTCCAGTGCTCACCATTGTTCTTGACAGTTTCAGCATCCCATGGATGATCCATATAACGTGAGTCCTGAGATTACTGGAATAAATGGAGAAGGCTCTAAATTTTTCTTGTTAGTGGGCTTTCTGTTTGATTTATTTTATTATGCTAGGAACGTATCTTACCATTCTGTATTAACTAAAACTTTTGTCAAAAACAAAAATAAGTAAACCCTATTTTATTAAATGCCTTTTGGCATATGATACCAAGATAATCGTACATGGTTGTTGGTGCTCTTGAGGACCAGTATTGATGGAATTAATTATGTTAATTGAAATCCTAATGTCTAAGCATCCTTGAGTTCATGATGTGATCATTCCTACCCCATCTTAGGGGGGGCAGTTAATAAGTCTTATGTGTTCTAAATTACTCAAAACTGCTCTTCCTTCTCTCTCCCTTTATCCCACCCCTCCCTGACCCACCCCCTGTGGCAGGCTCCTCCATTAAGAATATGCCTTGTCGGCCCCCAGGGCTCTGGCAAAACTTTGTGTGGAAGACAGTTGGCAGAAAAATTAAACATTTTTCACATTCAGTTTGAAGAAGTTCTTCAAGAAAAACTACTACTCAAAACTGAAAAGAAAGTGGGACCTGAATTTGAGGAAGATTCTGAGGATGAACAAGCTGCCAAACAAGAACTTGAAGAGCTTGCAATTCAGGCCAATGTCAAAGTTGAGGAAGAAAATACAAAAAAGCAGGTAGTAATCTCTTTTTTTTGTTTTTTTGTTTTGTTTTGTTTTTGCTGTTGTTATTGTTATTGTTTTTGAGACAGGGTCTCCATCTGTCACCCAGACAAGAGGGCAGTAGCACAATCACAGCTCACCAAAGCCTTATCTTCCCCGGGCTCAGGTGATCCTCCTGCCTTGGTGTATTAGTCCATTTTTACACTGCTGATAAAGACATACCACGACCAGGCAATTTACAAAAGAAAGACATTTAATGAACTTACAGTTAGGTCCACGTGGCTGGGGAGGCCTCAGAATCATGGCAAAAGGCAAGGAGGGGCAAGTCACATCTTACATGGATGGCAGCAGGCAAAGAGAGAGCTTGTGCAGGGAAACTCCCCCTTTTAAAACCATCAGGTTTTGTGAGACTTATTCACTATCAAAAGAACAGCATGGGAAAGGCGTGCCCCCATGATTCAATTACTTCCCACTGGGTCCCTCCCACAACATGTGGGAATTCAAGATGAGATTTAGGTGAGGTCAGTCAAACCATACCACTTGGCCTCCCAAGTAGCTGGGACTACAGGTGTGCACCACCATGCCTAGCTAGTTTTGGTGTTTTTTGTGGAGATGGGAGTCTTGCTATGTTGCCCTGGCTGGTCTCAAATTCCTGGGCTCAAGCCATTTACCCACCTTGGCCTCCCAAAGTGCTGGGATTACAGGCATGAGCCACTGTGCCTGGCAGTAGTAATCTATGCAGACAGCTGTGCTTACTGGTGTTACTCTGGGGAAGTAGTAGTATAAAACTCTATAAAGTTTCTAAGAAGAGAAAAAAATTAGCCCATAAAAGTCATTTAAAGAGTCATATTCGTCATGTGCTAAATAAAAATCTTCCAGCTCTTCTAGAATATAAAGTACTGAGTTTCATATGACTCAAAAAAAAATCAGAAAAACTTTCTTTGACAAGGCTGTTGTATAGCATTTATTTGAAAATGATATTTGGTGTATCTGACTTAGACAATATAGTTTTCCACTGTTGTGTTCTCTGATTTCTATCAAATAGCATAAAAATCTGCCCCAGCCTTAGTGGAGATCTCAAAATATTAATTTCTAATGATGCCTTATCAGAAAGTTTGTACTGTATTGATCTGTTCTCTCATTGCTATAAAGAAATACCTTAGATTGGGTAATTTTTAAAGAAAATAGGTTTAACTGGCTCGTGATTCTTCAGGCTGTACAGGAAGCATAGTGGCATCTCCTTGGCTTCTGGAGAGGCCTTAGAAAACTTACAATCATGGCGGAAGGTGAAGGTAGAGCAGACACATCACATGGCCAGGGCAGGAGGAAGAGAGAGTGAGGCGGGAGGTGCCACACACTTTTAAACCACTGGATCTCATGAGCACTCACTCACTACAGTCATGGCAGTACCAAGGGGGGAATGGTGCTGAACCATTCATGAGAAACTGCCCCCATGATCCAATCACCTCTCACCAGACCCCACCTCCAACATTGGGGATTGCAATTCCACATGAGATTTGGGCGGGGAAACAGATCCAAACCATATTAACATCTTACATGGCTTGTATCTGGAGTTATACAATGAAAGTTCTTAATAGGCCATTTGTTCTCAAATGATCCAAGTGCAGTTAAATGTAACGCTCAAAGTTGAAGCAGTGTTGGATAGTGAGTGACATATGGTGTTCTAGTAGGTAATGAAGTACCTCTTCAGACATAGTCTTTTTTCTTTTTGAGACAACATCTCCCTCTCTTGCCCAGGCTGGAGTGCAGTGGTGCAATCTCGGCTCACTGCAAACTCTGCCTCCTGGGCTCAAGTGATCCTCTCACCTCAGCCTCCTAAGTAGCTGGGACTACAGGCATGCACCAGCATGCCGGGGTAATTTTTGTGTTTTTTGTATAGACGGGATTTCATCATGTTGCCCAGGTTGGTCTCAAACTCCTGACCTCAAGTGATCCGCTCACCTTGGCCTCCCAAAGTGCTGGGATTACAGGCATGAGCCACCTATGCCTGGCCTTCAGACATATTCTTTAAATGTTTTTCACCTATATTTAGTAGCGTTCAGGAGAAACTGATATCCTACTAATTTAATAAATGTATATTGGGACAGGCACAGTGGCTCACACCTGTAATTCCAGCACATTAGGAGGCCGAGGTGGGCGGATCACCTGAGGTCAGGAGTTAGACACCAGCCCGGCCAACATGGTGAAACCCCGTCTCTACTAAAAGTACAAAAATTAGCCAGGCATGGTGGCACACACCTGTAATGCCAACTACTCAGGAGACTAAGTCAGGAGAATCACTTGAACCCGGGAGGCAGAGGTTGCAGTGAGCCAAGATCTCACCACTGCGCTCCAACCTGGGCAACAGAGCAAGACTCCGTCTCAAAAAAAAGAAAAAAGTATGTCAATCCAGATTTTTAAATTTAACAAGTCTAGATTTTAAAGTGCAACAAATATCTCCCGCTCGTCTACAGTTTTTTGTTTGATTTTCTTTTGCTGTTTTCTGAATCATTTAACTTCTCAGAAAGCAATTAAGGTATTTTATTTCTAGATAATAAAATTAATCCTACTTCCTGGTAAGCAGTAGTTTATCATACCTCATCTATTCAGTTTTAGAATTTTGGATGACAAAAGTACTCTACAAAAGTAGCTTCATTTTTGTAAGAACTGTTGTTTTTTACTGTCCATTCAAGGGTGATCCTACTTCAGAGAGAATTGACCTGAGTTAATTATCACAATGCTTTCTATTTGTTATTATGTTATAATCCTCATCTAGTTTGTATTTCAGATGGCTGCCTGTTTGGCTTATCCCATGATCAGCATCTAGGTTGGAGAGAGAATACTGTATAATTATAATATAAATAACAAAAATCAGTTAAGCCTTATAGGTGTGTGTGTGATAAATTGAAAAAGGTTTAACAAAAAGTAATGAGATATGACCCCAAGGCCATGTATGAAAATCAATATTATTACTTATAATTTATCTTAGCTATAGTAAATATTATTTACTATAGGTTGATGCAAAAGCGGTTGTGTTTTTGCCATTACTTTTAAGGCAAAAACCGCAATTACTTTTGCACCAACCTATATTTCTAACCACATTAAATAATTGGTTTAAAGAAAATAGCTCAAATTTTTAAATGTTTACAAGCAACACTACGAAAAAGACCTCAGAGAAAAATAACAAGTCTCATTCTAATCAACTATGTAATACCGTATTGTTTATGAATATAGATTTTGGGGTTTTCTAAATTGATATTTGTACATATTTTGGGGGTATATGTGGTATTTTGTTACACACATAGAATGTATAAGGATCAAGTCAGGGTATTTGTGATATCCATCACCTTGAGCACTTATCATTGCTATGTGTTGGGAGCATTTCAAGACCTCTCTTCTAGCTATCCTGAAATATGCAATACATCGTTATTAACTATAGTTTCCCTCTGTGCTATTGAACGTTAGAACTTACACCTTCTATCTAACTGTATGTTTCTACTCATTATCCTGCCTCTCTTCATCTCTTCTATCCTTACCATACACCCTTCCCAGCCTCTGGTAACTTTCATTCTACTCTCCACCTCCATGAGGTCCACTTTTTTAGCTTTCACATGAGTGAGAACATGAAATTATAAGCATAGAGTTTTAAAACTTGTTTTATTTTCTGATTTTTGTTTTTAGCTTCCAGAAGTACAACTTACAGAAGAAGAAGAAGTAATCAAATCAAGTCTAATGGAAAATGAGCCATTGCCTCCTGAAATTCTTGAAGCAATACTTTCTGAGTGGTGGCTTAAGGAACCAATACGGTATCTTAATTTATATAGAGTTGTGTATTTATTTGCTTTTATTTGTTTTATTCTTAAAAGTTAAAAATGTAGTTTAACATACATTTAAGAATTTTCTGCTTTATATTCATGTAAGCTGGTGATTTTTCATTTGAGATACACATTAAAAACATCTGTAAAGTCTTTAAAAATACCAATGCCAGGACCCCACACCAAAATAATTGAATTCGAATCTCTAGGAGTGTGAGCCTGGGATATTTTTCAGTACTCCCAGGTTATTCTAAAATGCATTTGTGGTAAAACTGTAAAAGCCTAAACAAAGTAGCTAAATATTATGCACCATTAAAATTTAGTATAGGGCCAAGCACGGTGGCTCACACCTGTAATCCCAACACTTTGGGAGGCCAAGGCGGGAGGATCACCTGAGGTTGGGAGTTCAACACCAGCCTGACCAACAAGGAGAAACCCTGTCTCTACTAAAAATACAAAATTAGCCGGGTGTGGTGGTGCATGCCTGTAATCACAGCTACTCAGGAGGCTGAGGCAGGAGAATCACTTGAACCTGGGAGGCGGAGGTTGTGGTGAGCCGAGATAGCGCCATTGCACTCCAGCCTGGGCAACAATAGTGAAACTCCATCTCAAAAACAAACAAAAAAAATTATAATGAATAATTTGTAATAGCATGAGAAATGTTATTACATAAAGTTAAGTTAAAAAGAAGATGTAAAACTATAATATAATAGAGAATGCACACATGAAGAACCAACTGGAAAGAAATAAAACAAATTTTTAATAACCTCTGAGATGTGGGATTATGGATAATTTTTGCCTTTTTATGCTTTTCTCTATTTTTTCCATTTTTCTATAGTGTGACATTGCTTTTATAACCAAGGGGAAAATAATACATTTTGAAAAGGTTATTGCATTAGTCCTGGAGAGATATACTAAGGGGCTTGAACTAAGGGGGACTGGCAGAAATAGAAGTGTGAGGACAGAGGAGGACATGCCAGGACTTACCTATTAAACATAAGAAGCAAGAGGGAGCCAGGGGAGAGGGCCAAAGGTCTCTAACAGGTAGTACCTGAGTACGAGTGGGTCAGAAGGAAGAGCAGTTTGGAAGGCTAACAGTATGATTTTTGATAGTACAATGTGTGTATAATTCCAGAAGGGCATTCAGTTGGAGAAACTCCACAGCTTTTTGAAAATTCGGAACCAAAACTCAGAAGAGAGGTTGGGTATAGAGGTAAAGATTTGGAAGTCATTGACAGAGAAGTGACAGCAGGAACAGTAGGAATGAAATTGACCCTGCCAGAAGAGACCAGACTGAAGGCACCTCTAAAGAAAAAACCACATATATTATGGCCAATATATGGAAATTTGCCCCCTTAATAAGAAAGGAAAATTCACATTTTTGAACTAACAACTTTGAAGGCTGAAACTGTCAAATGTTCGTGAAAGTCCTATTTGTATTAAGAAAAAAATATATATTTAAATATAAATATTAAAAACAAACCAAATTTCAGATAAGCAGGAGAAACAAATTCTCACTCAAATGGGGACCAGTATTGACTCTCTCAACTAAACAAAGCCAAGTTTTCAAACTTGATTGTTTTATAAGTGCTCACTAATTAAAATGTATTAACATTCCAGTTATTTTCCTAATTCTTTTTTTTTTTTTTTTTTTTTTTGAGAAGCAGTTTCACTCTTGTTGCCCAGGCTGGAGTGCAATGGCATATTTTCCTAATTCTTAAAGTCTCATCACACTTGGGCAAGTTTGACAATCCCATTTGAATATAATTATCTTGCCCATAGGAACCAGGATACATACATTAACAATTGTCATCGGTTACAAGGAGACCCAGGGAAGTGGGTTTGGGTTGTCTCATGAAAGGAAGCACTGTTAGAAGAAAAACTGCCGACAGTGAGGGCTCCCACTACAAGTGGGCTGGCCAGGTGTACTCTTTAAATAAAGAGTACCACATTCACTAGGCTGGGCACCCCCCTCAAACAGAGAACTTATTTTCTCTTTTCCTATGGCCTTCTCACAACTTCTAGTAAACTTTCAGTTAATAGTAATTGTAAACTGATTGACTACAATTTTATATTATAAATATATGTATGAAATATTGTAATTTTAATCCAATTTGATATATTTTGAAAAAGAAATGTCACATATACAACTAGAAATATTAAAAGAAATAAAAGATAGTAGAGTAAATTTTTAAACTATTCATTACATACAGAAAGTTGATATTTATCAATACATTCTTTTACTTTATTTTTTTCTTTTAAAATATTTAATTGACAAATAAAGATTGTATATATTCAAGGTGTACATGATGATTTAATATACCTTGTATAATGATCATTACAGTCAAATTAATGAACATGTCCATTACAATATTTTAATGAAATAAAGTAAATTATGAAAATTTCCACCAGTTCCACAGGTTTTATATTAGATGGTTTCCCACGATATCCAGAGGAGGCCCAGTTTTTGGGGGATCATGGATTTTTCCCAGATGCAACTGTTTTTATACAAGTTGATGATCAAGATATTTTTGATCGCCTCCTTCCTGCCCAAATTGAAAAGTGGAAACTAAAACAAAAGAAGAAATTAGAAAGGAAGAAACTGATCAAAGACATGAAGACAAAAATCAGGGTATGTGTCTAGCAAAAATGCATTGAATAAATCTGTTCAGCATCTGTTTAGTGATCTGTTATAAAGTGATCTTCACAAAAAAATACAGTTTTCTAATTTTAATACCACAGTAAGCATGAAACATTTTTCATCAAATATTAAGACCATAATAAGAGTTAAGAGTTATTTCAGGCTTTTGTGGTAATCAATGTGTTAATGCTTCTCTCTTTATGGCAAATAAAAGATAGTGGTAGTGCCAAGGCTTCCCTCTCCCAGACATGGGAGCAAAGTGGAAGAGGTAACAAACAGAGATTTGAAACACAAAGAAGTAAAATTTCAGAGGTCTTTTTCACTGCCCCTAGAGCGATGACACCATCCATCAAAGCCATGCAAGCCTGTAGTGAAACCAGATCCACATTACGTTAGAATGTTGTTCCTAAACCTACATTCTGAGGAGTATTCCATAAAATGTTCAAAAGCGTCACAGGGAACCAACAATTCCACTCCTGGTAATCTTATCTAACAGAAATGAAAATATATGTCCACATAAAAAGTTATATGTGAATGTTCATAACCATTATTCATAATAACCAGAAAGTAGAAACAACCCAAATCATCAACTGATGAATAGAAAAACAAAAGGTGGTATATCCTTAGAATTGAAAAACTACTCAGCATTAAGAAGGAATGACCTATTGATGCACCCTGTAACATGGATAAAAATCAAAACCATTGTGCTGAGTGACCGAAGCCAGGCAAAACAGGAGTGCATCCTGTACAATTCCATTTCCATGACATGCCCTGAAAAGGCAAACCTGTAGATCTGGGCTGAAGTATAAAGAATGGACTTTTGAGTCTGGACCTAGGATGGCCCAGATGAGACATGAGAGCAGTGTTAAATGTTTGAAGGGCTTTCGTGCCAAAGGGAGCTTGGAGTTACTCCACGTGGCCTCAAGGGAAAGAACTACCATTGGTAGGAGGAAGGTACAGGGAAAGTATATTTCATTCTTAGCGAGACATTTCAAAAAGAGCCAAGACTGAAGGCAGGGAGCTTCTTGCCAATAAATAAGCATAAACTAGACGAACATTTGGCAGGGGAGAATGGAAAAATGTGTCACAGAGAACTCATCTATTAATTTCAATTAAGACTTAAATTATGTAATACATTCTCACAATTCAACACCAATTAAATTACAGACTGCCAAAGTGTTAAAGCCAAGCAGTTCCTCTTTCATTGCTCAGACACGGTTTTCAAATTATTTTCATCTTGGGGTTAGCCAGAGGAAACCCCTTCAAGGCCATTGCCATCCATTCTTCTTCCCCACCACACCAAGGTTGCATGTCCCAGGCCATCACTGATCTGCAAAATATCAAGGCAGGCAGAGTTCTTAGCCATCTAAGAACTATGGAAGTAAGGAGGGAGACGTGGGAAGATAGCTGGCTCCACGGTGTTCTTGCTGACATTCAGGCCAAACTGTCTGCCATGCACGAGATTCTGTAAGTATGAGAATGGAAAAGAAAGAGCCAAAGAAGAGAGCCTACCAAAGCATATTCATACGTTGTCTCACTGTGGGGCCTGGAATATCTAGGCCAGTGCTAACACAGAAATCTCTGTGATGACAGAAATGTCCTAGATCTGTGCTGTCCTATACAGGAGCCACTAGCCGCAGTGGCTGTTGAGCACTTAAAATGTGATTAGTGTGGCTGAGAAATCAAATGTTTAATTTTATTTAATTTTAATATAAATAGCCACACACAGCTAGTGGCTATTGTACTGGCCAGAACAGCTGTAGGGCAATGAAGCCACATCCTATACATCACATGCTTTAAGAATTTTAGGGACCTAGAACAGGAAAGCAGCAGGTTTCAGGAGCTAGTGTATCACCCCAGGCATTTGCCCCTTCCTTTCCTCACCCACTAACTCTATCTCAGTTCAGAGCTTTCTCTGCTGACACCAGAGTTCCTACAGTGATCTAATTGTCCTCCCTGGCTTCAGCTCTATGCCTTCCAGACCATCCTTCTGACTACCTCCACACGAATCTTCCTAAAACTCCATTTTGATCAAGCCACCCCATTAAGTCTGAATTCTCAATCTTATCCCAAATTCTCTTTCTAACGTTTTTTCTCAGTGGAAACAAATACAAACCCTTCTCTGCAGTAGCCACCACATTGTATGCTTTGGCAATCCCATATCTGGTAGTTTCTTTTCTTTTTCTTTTTTTTTCTTTTTTCTTTTTTTTTGATACGGAGTCTCACTCTGTCGCTAGGCAGGAGTGCAGTGGTGCAATCTCAGCTCACTGCAACCTCTGCCACCTGGGTTCAAGCGATTCTCCTGCCTCAGCCTCCTGAGTAGCTGGGACTACAGGTGTGCACCACCATGCCCAGCTAATTTTTGTATTTTTAGTAGAGACGGGGTTTCACCATATTGGCCAGGTCAAGAGATCAAGACCATATCTGGTAGTTTCTAAAAGCATCCTCACACTAATTGTGTGACATTACATGAGTTAAACTCTGAATTTCTGTTAACTCACCTCTAGAGTGGGGTAATGCCTTGCAGATATGTTTTGAGCAGAAAATGAAAGAATATATATTATGGTGCTCAGGACAGTGCTGCCATCTGGCAGATGTACAATAATTAGTTAAACCTCACTGACTATTTGAGTGAAAGGAGCAGAAGAAAAGTAGACTCAGAATGTGTATGAGTGCTATTGGTATAGTTTGCAATTTTTTGGTATATACAGTGGTCTTTAAGTTTTACAAAAACACAAAAGAGACTATGTTTTCACAACTCCACATTTAAAGAACCTATGGTAAAAATATGTTTTTATAAAAGGAAATAATGAAAGTTTTTATAAATTCTCGCCATGTTAAGAGCCATAAAATCTTTCTGGGGCTCATAAACCAAATACATTATATTCAGTTCAGCTTTATAATTCTATCTACAAATAATTCTTGCATGCCTACAAGGCATAAGTTCTCAGGAATGTGTGCTCAATAGCAACCAGGTGAAAGCACCCAGGCTCTGCTTGTCTGGACCAGAGCCCCAGGGCATGTCCTCAGGCACCACTATCCTCCTGGTATTTAAAGGGAGACCAGTTTGCTGAGGCCTGAGCCAATAAGCCCCGAAACCTGAAGAAAGCAGATTAGTTTTAATGAAAACCTTGGAGACCTATCAAAGAGGATCCACTGTGTTAGATTTAGAGGATTCTGGGAAGGTTGGAGGACTGTCTATATATCAAGTCTGTGACTGTCTCCCAACCACATGCACTTTCCCCATGTGGACATACGTGTTTTTAGGTTTGTTAGGCCAGGGGTTCCCAAACCCTGGGCCATGGATGGATACCAGTCTGTGGCCTGTGAGGAACCAGGCCATAGAGCAGGAGGTGAGCAGTGACTGGGCAAGTGAATGAAGCTTCATCTGTATTTACAGCCGTTCCCCATCACTCACATTACTGCCGTTCCCCATCACTCACATTACTGCCTAAGCTCTGCCTCTGGTCAGATCAGCAGCACATTAGATTCTCATAGGAGCACAAACCGTATTGTTAATTGTGCATGCAAGGGATCTAGATTGCACACTCATGAGAATCTAATGCCTGATGATCTGTCACTATCTCCCATCACCTCCAGATGGGACCATGTAGTTGCAGGAAAACAAATTCAGGGCTCCCACTGATTCTACATTATGGTGAGTTGTAAAATTATTTCTTTCGATATTACAATGTAATAATAATAGAAATAAAGTACACAATAAATGTAATGAGCTTGAATCATCCCAAAACAATCCCCATCTTCGGTACATGGAAAATTGTCTTCTGTGAAACCAGTCCCTCATGCCAAAATGGTTGGGGATCGCTATGTTAGGCTATTCAATAATGTGTTAAAAGCTTACCATTTTCAATGAATTGCCTCCAAGTATTTCCCTATTTCCTGCGACCAAAACCAAACAAACAACTGAGCAATAAATTTTGAAAAAGAGTTCTAAACTTTGTGGAAAGAGTAAGTGACCCCAAGTGCTATTTATCCCTCTGGCAGAAAATAGCTGATCAAGAGGTTCAGAGGTACAAGCATACAAGCCAAGCAACATGATTACCGCCATCACATCCTTTCCTGCAAAGTGCACTGTGCTTCTGCCCAAATGTTATTCCTACTTTATATAAAAATATATTAATACAGAGAAAGCCACTTTTATCATTCTCCATTACAATTTTTTAATGTCTCTTTCTTTAACAGGTTGATATGATTGCTAAAAGAAGGGCTGAACTTATATTGGAGAGAGAGAAAAAAAGGAGGGAGGTAAGTTTTTTTTGTTTTTTTTTTTCAAAACAGGGTCTCACTCTGTTGTCCAGGGCAGGGTGCAGTGGCACAATCATAGCTCACTGCAACCTGGAACTCCTGGGCTCAAGGGATCCCCCCATCTCAGCCTCTCAAAGTGCTAGGATTATAGGCATGAGCCATCACACCCAATCTTTGCCTTCTGGCTTAAGACACCCTTGTAACACCTTTTCGAGGCTGACCCTCTTGTAACCTGATTTCCATCTGTATAAAAATGTCCAGCCAAACAAGAAGAGAAAAAGAGGAATATCAGAAAATACAGCTTGCTACAAGTGCAACCACATGTCATCCTGGTGTGAATATGCTGGACTTCCATACAGAAGACTGCTGATATTATACAGTGCAACTGCAACTGTGGGCACAAAGCACTGCAGAGGAGGGGCCAAAGTAATTGTTGCTTTGTCAAAACAAAATATTTACAACCAAAAGTAGATAAAAAACCACTGGACAAAGAAAATTATGGCACCATCTAAGAATAAGAACCCTCCTCTTAATTATTTGCCTCAATTTTCATTCATTTATTCATTCAGTCCATCAGCAAACATTAATTGAGCTTTGTGTCTGACACTTTCAAATACTGGCAAATCAGCCTTGAGCAAAGCTTACAAAAATCCTAGCCTCATTCTCATGCTCATTTCCCTCATCAAACATGTTCTAAAAGTTTACTCTGTTCAAGGTGTCATGCTAATGTTTAAGATCAAAAAGATGTCCTAACCCGGAATTAAGTACAGTTAACTACTTTAAGCCCTTGGGAGTCCCTAGTGGTCCCCTTCTGAATCATTTCAAATGTTTCAGCATGAAGGAGTCCAGGCTTTGCAGTTAAACACACCTACGCGGTATCCATTCTCCAGTTCTCGTTGACTTTGTCCGCTGCTCTCCAGTGCCTGGTGGAGTGCTGACACATGTGACATTCAACTTCAGTTATTTCTCTGAGGTTGTATAACATTGAGTAAGTCACTTAGCCTCTGTAAACCTAGGGCTTTTTATTGTAAAATGGGAAAAATTAATACACTTAGTTTCCCTAATTAATAATAATTTAATTTCCCTTTGCTACTCTTTAGTTAAATCTTCTTTTCTTAAGAATTAGTTTTCAGGATAAACTTTAAATGTTCTTTATAATTTTTTCATTTGTTAACATTAGAATGGTGTGATTTCTTCTGATTTTTCATTCGGAAATTCAATATTCTATGTAGAGGTTAAACAGGATTTTTGTAAGTCAGTTCTCCTGAGACTTCGTGTTTGTAAAATTGGCTGTGTATCCCACAAAACTGATACAAACAAACTCGCAACACAACTCCTGAGATTTTTGGTGAATTAAAAATTAAAACTGTATGTGGGGTTTTTTTTTTCAACTCCTTTGATGGAAATTTTATATGTCCTGCTACTAACTCAGACAATAAAGCAGACAAAATGTAGCATCTCAGGGATGAGTTAGTGTGCTTGTTACTATTGGTCAGTGTGCCACCTTGAGTGGCATCCATCCCGACTCCACATCTATCCTGGAGCTCACTTTCATGAACAGATCCAGGGGGTTTCTCACATTTGCCTTTCCTATGCAGAATATGCAGTTCCGTGACTTGCCTTTTTCACACTAACTGGGGAATTTCAGGCAGAGAAAGCCCTTCCCAGGTTTGTCTTCTTGCCCTAAACAAAATCATTGCTTTTACTTTCTTTTTAGCACTGAATGGGACATTTCCAACGTTAGAAATCACTTCAATATCCCAGGCACTACTTGCATTAATATCATAGGGAAACGTCGCCATCTTGTGGACCTGTCATCTCAGAATGTGACTGTAAGGCAGCCCCTGGCCTTGCTTGTAATCTTTCCTCTCTTCCTGTCCACCGGCTCTGTCTCTGGGTCTCTATTAGGTGTTGGGTAGCCACTGGGAGGTGAAAGCAAGGGAGGGCCAGGGCAGGGAGCCCAGGGAGCAAGTGAGCACAGTGTCAGACTACACCTTGGTGAAGAGTAATAGAGACACATCGATCATAGGTACTGAGCGAAGGTCCAAGTCAGGGTCCACACAGGCTGAAACAAAGGTCGGGACCAAGTACCATGCCAAAACCATCTCCAAGATCCTCTAGGAAGAAGACAGAGTGTTTAGACCCAAAGGTTGAAACACAGAGGCCTCTTCAGGATGAAACAGCAACCAAAAGTGTACATGGGTACGGGTTGGAGACAGATTAAAAGCGCTGAAAACCAAGTAGTTCACAATAGCAGCTCCACAGGCAACATCAGTCACACCACAGCATAATAAAGGAATCTGGGGATCTAGATAATGAACATCTGTGTCAGGAAGCCCTGAGAACTCTGACAGGTCTTTTATTTCTTCCATTTCTTCATGCTTTCCTCTTCCATCCTCTCTCTAATAAGAAAAAATCCATTGCTCTCCTGGCACAAGCTTGTATCCAGATGTAGCTTCCCCTGTCTTCCTCTACCAATAGACAGTAGTAACACAGCTTACCCCAAATCTAGTCCTGTCTCTCTGAGACTATGAATTTATTTGCTTTCTGCTTGTCCCCTCTGTTTTCTGTTTCTCTGTTCCCCTTTTCCATCCTTCTTTGGATTATTTGAATATATTTAGAAATTCATTTTAATTATCTATTGCCCTTTTTTCTTTTGAAAAGTGTGTAAAATTTTTATTTTTTCTTTTTCAATTTGTATTTTAGTTCAGAGGGTATATGTGCAGGTTTGTTACATGGGTAAATTGCATGTTGCCGGGGTTTGGTGTACAAATAATTTTGTCACTCAGATAGTGAGCATAGTACCCAATAGGTAGTGTTTTGACCCTCGCTCTCCTCCTACCCTCTACCCTCAAGTAGGCCCCAGTGTCTGTTGTTCCCCTCTTTGTGTCCATGTGCACTTGAAGTTTAGCTCCCACTTATGAGAACATGCAGTATTTGGTTTTCTGTTCCTGTGTTAATTTGCTTGGGATAATGGACTCCAGCTCCATCCATGTTGCTACAAAAGATATGAATTCATTCTTTTTTATGGCTGCATGGTATTCCATGGTATATATGTGCCACATTTTCTTTATCCAGTCCACCACCACTAATGGGCACCTAGGTTGATTGCATGTCTTTGCTATTGTGAATAGTGCACTGCATGTGTGCATGTGACTTTTTGGTAGAACGATTTCTATTCCTTTGGGTGTATACCCATTAATAGGATTGCTGAGTTAAATGGTAGTTCTAAGTTCTTTGATAAATCTCCAAACTGCTTTTCACAGTGGCTGAACTAATTTACATTCCCACCAGCATTTCCTTTTCTTCATAACCTCACTAACATCTGTTATTTTCTGACTTTTCAATAATAGTCATTCTGACTGACACGAGATAACACATCACTGTGTTTTTGATTTGCATTTCTCTAATGAGTAGTGATATTGAGCATTTTTTCACTTGCTTGTTGTCTGTGTCTATGTCTTCTTTTAAGTGTCTGTTTATATCTTGTGCCCATTTTTTAATGGGGTTGTTGTTTTGGGCTTGTTGATTTAAGTTCCTTGTAGATTCTGGATATTAGACTTGTGTTATATGCATAGTTTGCAAATATTTTCTCCCATTCTGTAGGTTGTCTGTTTCTTCTGTTGATAGTTTCTCTTGTGTGAAGAAGCTCTTTAGTTTAATTAGGTCCCATTTGTCAATTTTTGTTTTTGTTGCAATTGCTTTTGGAGACTTTGTCATAAAATATTTGTCCAGAACCAAAACAGCATAGCACTGGTACAAAAACAGACACATAGAGCAGTGGAACCCAGAAATAAAGCTGCACACCTACAATCATCTGATCTTTGACAAGGTCGACAATAACAAGCAATAGTAAATAAATGGTGCTGGGATAACTGGCTATCCATATGCAGAAGAATGAACCTGGACCTGTTCCTTTTACCATATACAAAAATCAAAATGGATTAAAGACTTAAATGTAAGACCTAAAACTATAAAAACCCTAGAAGAAAATCTATTACCTTTCTAAGTATACCTCTATGCTTCATTTTTCAGTAGTTATGCTAGAATTACAAATACATCCTTGGCTTTTCACATTCTACTTAGGGTCAATATTACTCAATGTAATATTGTATAAACGTTAGAACTGTCTAGCTCCATTTGCCTCACTCATCTCCAACGCACTAACATCCTTTATGCTCTAGTTGTGATGTGTTTTACAACTGAATACATTACAACCCTCATAAGAAATAGTTCTAATGTTTATATTAGTCACATGTATTTTTAAAAAATTAATAGGAAAGAAAGCCTTGTTTTACATTTATCTACATATTTACTATTTCTGATGTTCTTCATTCATTCCTCTGGTGTGATGGAAATCAGAAGGATGAGAATGCTGGACATCTGAATTATTGTTCACCTACTGTGTTTTTCTTTTCTCTGTATCTTTGCTTTTTAACAATTTGGTTATGATTTGCCTACATATCATTTTCTTCATATTTAGTTTGGGGCCCACTAAGCTTCTTTAATCTGTACATTTATGTCTTTTACTAAACGTGGGGAAACTTAAGACATTATTTCTTTAGACATTTTTTCTGCCTCATTTACTCTTTGTCTTCTTCTTATAATACCCCAGTTACACATAGGTTAGACCTTTGCTGTTGTTCCACATGTCCTGGGGACTCTGTTGATTTTTTTCCATCTTTTTTCTCTCTCTTCTTTAAGGTAAATAATTTAAGCCCAACCAACAATTTTTTAAATTTCAAATATTGTATTTTTAGTTCTAAAATTTCCATTTGGTTAGTTTCTATATTTTCTATTTCTCTCCTAAGATTTCCTCTCTGTTCATTTATTATAAGTGTATTTTCCTTTTCCTCTTTGATCATTGTAATAATAACTGCTTTAAAAGTTCTTGTTTGGTGATTCTAACACCTGGGCTGGGTATTTGATTATTATCTTTCTTCAAGAGGATGGGTCAAATTTTCGTGATTCTTCGTATTTTGAGTAACTTTGGATTCTAT